CCCGTTGTTCTTGCACCACCTCCTCCTACTGGGACTACAGAACCCAATGTCACCAAGGATAGGGAATGACAAGTTTATGTCCGGGACAAAGACAGACAGAAAGTTAACTGGATACAAGAGACCACTTCTGCTCCTCCACTGCCATCTCCTGCTTCTGATGAGAGTCCAGGTAATTTTGAATCTCTTGAGTCCATTGATCTTGATGTTCCCATTGCCAAGAGAAAGGGTGTGAGATCTTGTACTCAACATCCTATCGCAAATTTTGTGTCTTACTCCTATTTATCGTTCTCTTATAGAGCGTTTGTGTCCAATATTTCTTCTGTTAGCATTCCTAACCATTTTTAGGATGCTCTTGCTATTTGTGAGTGGAAACTTGCCATGATTGAGGAAATGAAAGCACTTAGGAAGAATGACACTTAGGAATTGACTGAGTTACCTAAGGGCAAACGACCTGTGGGATGCAAATGGGTGTATACTATGAAACACAAAACGGATGGGTCTATTAAGCGTTACAAGGCTAGACTTGTGGCAAAAGGGTTTACTCAGACATACGACGTCGACTATCAGGAAACCTTTGCACCAGTGGCTAAGATGAATTCGGTTAGAGTACTCCTCTCTCTAGCAGCTAATCTAGACTGGCCACTTCATCAGTTTGATGTAAAGAATGCCTTTTTCCATAGTGACCTTGAAGAAGAGGTATATATGGACATTCCTCCTGGTTTTGAGGATCATTAGACAAAAGGTAAAGTATGCAGGCTTCGAAAGTCATTATATGGTCTCAAAAAGCCTCCAAGGGCTTTGTTTGAGAGATTCACTCAGGCTATGCTTAAATATGGCTTCAAACAGAGTCAGGCATATCACACCTTGTTTGTGAAACATTCCTCATGTGGTAAGACTACAGCACTCATTGTTTATATAGATGACATAGTTCTTATAGGCGATGATAGTGAGGAAATACCTCTGTTGAAGAAATATTTAGCCAATGAGTTTGAAATCAAAGACTTGGGGAGTTTAAAGTATTTTTTGGAAATTGAAGTTGCTCGCTCCAAGGGTGGGATATTTATCTCACAGAGAAAGTATATGCTTGACCTGTTGAAGGAAACTGGAATACTTGGCTGCAAGGCCTGTGACACTCCACTGGAACCTAATCAGAAATTAGGAGATGATGAAGGAGGAGCAGCTGTTGATAAGGGGAGCTATCAGCGATTAGTGGGTAAACTCATTTATCTATCTCACTCCCGTCCTAATATTGCTGTTGCTGTCAGTGTGGTTAGCCAGTTTATGCATGCTCCTCTTCAGATTCACTTCGAGGCTGTCATGCGAATTTTGAGGTATTTAAAATCTGCTCCTGGTAAGGGTCTTTATTTTTCAAAGTATGATCATCTTCGTGTGGAAGCCTATACAGATGCTGACTGGGCTGGATCAGTAACTGGTAGGAGATCGACTTTAGGGTATTGCACCTTTATTGGAGGCAACCTAGTTACTTAGAGGAGTAAGAAACAGAATGTGGTTGCTAGGTCAAGTGCAGAAGCTGAGTTTAGAGCTATGGCACAAGGGGTGTGTGAGCTCTTATGGATCAAGTTATTGTTGAGTGATCTAGGTATCGATTAGACGGGCTCCATGCGGTTATATTGTGATAATAAGGCCGCTATTAACATTGCTCATAATCCGGTTCAACATGACAGGACAAAATATGTTGAGATTGATCGCCACTTCATTAAGGAGAAACTCACTAGTGGCACAATATGTAATCCCTTTATGCAGTCTGGTGAACAACTTGCTGACATCCTCACCAAAGGAGTTGAGAGTAAGCCCTTTCATGGCATCTTAGGTAAGCTAGGCATGAGAGATATCTTCGCACCAGCTTGAGGGGGAGTGTTAGAATAATATATTATTATTTGGGTTATTATTTTTGTAATTATTCTACATCTTAGGGCTCCCTTGTAATTATTGATAGTCATTAATATAAATAGGGGATGATATTCTAATCATTCCCTAAGATTGATATTCTCTAAATTTATCATTACCCACTCTGCCACCACAAGACTTGTGTCTTATATTTTCATCCATAAGTATTTATTACATAAACATAGAAGGGTCATCTTCTTTCCTGGTTCCGCGTGTGAAGTGTGTGCGGTCAGTCGCCGGCGCATAAGAACAGTGTCAATTGCGCGTGCAGCCTCCTCAGACCTTCATTTTTTACGCGGTTTTCACCTATGTGCTCTTCTCGTCGAGACCTTCAAGCCTGTGTGATCAAAAGTGGAGTTCGACCACTTTTATTTCTGGGCAATTTTGAAAATCATGCTCTGTTTTTCCGAAAAAACACACAATCAGCTCTGATACCACTTTGTTAGGATCAAACACACCCAGAAAATTATCACACACACACAGAGAACACAATATTTACGTGGTTCGGCCCAATGCCTTCGTCCACGGAGCAGAAATGAGAATTTTCACTAAAACAGAGCAAAAAATACAAAATGGAGGAGTATCTCACTCTCTCTACTCAACTCAGAGCTCTCATACACTTCTCACAACTTTATTTTTTTTCTGATGCAATCCATCCTCTCCCTCCCATCTCTATTTATACACAGAGAGAGAGATACCAGCCCACCAAAAATTTCTACCATGGTGAGTGTCAACAATGTAAAGAATGTGAAGAGAAGAGAGAGTTTTGTAGATGCCCAGTTCGGACTTTCACTTGAGGTGGAGGTCCTTGTACACCATCTTCTTTGACCCTCTGCTTTCATGCATGGGGCTGGAGCAACAATCGGTTCTAATGACGCTTTGATAATTTTCAGATTTATACCAAAAGAGAACGACACTTCCAAAGTTTCTGTTTTGTACGAGTTTTCTGGACAGATTTGAGCACATCAGTTTATAAGGTTTTTGACTCTAAAAAATTATGAGAAAATTATGGTATGAAATTCAATATGTAATTAAGTTACTGTAAAAATTCATCCGTTTGATATGATTTCTTGATTTTTAAAGTTTGTGGTTCTGTGTAGAATTTTTAAACTAAGAATTACTCCTATTACCTAAGCACCAATTTAACTAATTAAATTTCTAAAATAACAATACTATAGTATGTATTCTTATGCATGAATATTTGAATTTTAAACATTATATCTAGATCTTTAATAACAATACCAAATAAGAGCACTAGTGAACTGCTAATACAGCACACAAAAACTAATGCCACATTTTTTCCCCCCACAATGAGACTCATGCCCCATGCAACACCTGCTCTTCCCTCATTACTTCCCACAACCCACATTTGACATCCTAGACTTACCTTCACACCAGACCACAAAATAATGAACGATAGAATGAATAACCCATGCAGATTCTTGAACTCAACTACTGGAAGATAAAAGAAGAACAAGTAAGTAATGGACTTACCCATAGTAGTGATTATGCTGAACCCAATGCTAATGACCTCTTCCTCTCCTTGCCGTTTGCCACCAATTTTATCGCCTCTCTCTCAATCTCACGACAGCTGCTGGTAGGGAACTATATGGGATTTTAGGGTTATTAAATCAATTATATAACAGGTCTCTCTTAATTTATTTATTATTATTATTATTATTATTATTATTGTTATCAATAGTCTTTAAAATTGTGGACTTCCATAATAAATTTTTTTAAAGTTTAAAATTAATTAAAATACCCTCCAACAATATTTAATTTGCACTTTAAAACTCCCCAGCAAAATATTCGAGATTTGTAAACTTATTATAATTTATTTATTTATTTTTATATTCGGGTTTTCACACTGACACTTCAAAACAAGTGTCGTACCTGTGTCGGATACACAGACACTTCGGGGATACATATGGGACACGCCACATGGCGTGTCCGCTTATTTAACTAATTTATTTTCAGGGGACACACCGGGGACACGCCAACTTGTCTTTTCCCTCATTTTCTCTAGTATTTTTGATGAATGTTAAATGTTTGTTATTTTTTTCTTAGATTTAAATATACTTAATAGATCATTCATAAAAAAACAAATAAACGGTAAGTGTTAATTTATTTTTATTTTTTTTGAAAACAAAATAAAATATAGAATTGAGTTAGTTTTTGTTAATATTGATTACTTGTGGATGTAACATTAATCTGGATAGCAAATAAAAATATATAAAAACATATTTTATTGCCGTGTCGCCGCCGTGTCCGTGTCCGTGTCGGTGTCCGTGTTCCCATTTTTTTGAAATTACAGTGTCCCGTGTGCGCATCCGTGTTCGTGTCCTTACTTCTTAGGTTCTGTGTGTTGTCCCTGCATGTCTGCACAAATAAATGTAAAATTTTCCCACAATTGGACTTTCGACTTTATGGGCATTTTTTTTTAGAGGGGAGTCTTTATGGTCATTTTGTCCGTGGAGAAAGTGAAAATCCTTTGTATCCATCGTGCCTTTTTCTCATACAGTCATTTTGCTGTGTTCATTACGTTTGAAGCATAATAGTTGAGGCAGTTAACTCTTTGAAATGCTGTTCATCTTTTTTTTTTTTTGATCGGCAAAGAAAAATTTCATTAAAAACATGAAATTTATAGGTACACGGAAATAAAACGCACTGAGAGAGATTCGAAGAGTAAAAATTCACTCTCCTACTACTGCTACTCGCAATCTTACAACCAACCCCTTAACCTCACAAATTTATATTTTAAAAACAACTAAAAAGGCCAAATGCTGTTCATCTTGACAACAAAATAAAGGCCAAATGTTTATTTGTCAGTGTGTTTTCCAAGTATTTGCTTCGTTTGGTGTTTGTCATGTTGAGCATGGAGCTGTCTATGGGTTGTGCTCATATGTAATTAATAATAACATTGTATTTGTTCTGGCTGTAATTTATGTGCAGCAAGTTCCTCCGTTATTTATTATCTAAATGATTCGATATACATGCAAGTACATGGAAAAATGCTTTTAGTTCTGTGTCTGAGTAGACTACATGCGTATATGCATGCACACTCTTCACAATTAAAATTTATGTGATTTCAGTTTCCTACTCAGTAACACACTTGCCATGGAAGAGGATGAAGTCCTTGAAATGCGTATTCGGCTATAATTAGAATTTATCAAAAGCAGCATCATGCAGTCATTCAAATGTTCTCTTCCTCCCAAACCATTGCCACTGACTATGATAATTACTATAGGTATCCATTTGGTTAACGAGCTACTACAACAGTGAGTGGTGTTCGTATAATGGAATTTCTCTAAAATTGTAGTGATTTGGAGTGCCAAGAACATTCTTCTTCATATCTTCAAATATAGACCAACAAGCAATCATAGTTTGCATTGACTCCCTCTATTTCAGAAAATTCACACATGTATATAGATGTTTCATACTTGGCAACGTCTTACGATTCTGTACATGACTTGCTTCCAAATTTCTGGTTCGAGTAATTAGAGTTATAAATTTTTCTTTTATGATTATCCGTAAGTTTGTTTAATTGTTTGATTCAAAGAACATATAAAGACTATGTAGTTGGTTTTGTTGTATATTAATTCAAATCTTATAATAGTTGTTAAAGCTCTTTGAGCATGTTTGTTAACCTTAAATCTATGGATAACTTTTTTCGGGTATATAAATTATCACTTCCTAATCACCACTGCCACCTGCAATTGTGCAACGCACGATGGGTCGATACTAGTTGGATCTCAATGTTTCAGATTAGAAAAAACGACCTCTTTTTCTCGTAGGTTCCATTGCGACTAACTTCTTACAAATTTATTTGCAATCAAAATTATAGTCTTAGTTTCTAATTAACCTCCCATAGTTTGTTTCGTTTTTCGATATTTTTTTTGTTTTAATTGATAGTATTCAAATTTATATAGGTACCTTTCTTCCAATTTCTTTTTATTTTTTATTTTTTATATATTAGTTATATGACAAATGAATTGTTGCAAATTTATAGGTGATGGTTTTCTAATTTGGTACAATATGGACTGTAGCAAATATATTAGTGTCAGTTTTTAATTTGATTTTTGGGTAATTATGTATATTTATATTGATTTTCGTAGTTCTTATTATTGTTTCACAATTCTTCATTTAATATTTTCTTTATTACTTCATAAATTTTCCTAAATAGTGTTTTCTTTTGGTAAAGTGCCTGATTTTCCTTTGTCTTTTAGTTTGTTTGTTTGCTTGGAAATCTTGAGAAAAGAATTTGTAACTTTTGGATCTCAAATGCTTAAGAGTAGTTAAACGGATATCTTTTTCGTAGTCTCCATTGAGACTAAGTTTCTCTACAAGATTTCTTTGCAATCGAAATTATAGTCTTAGTTTCTAATTAAATTTCCCCTATTTTGTTTTGTTTTTCGATATTTTTTTTTTGTCTTAATTGATAGTATTGAAATTTATATATGTGCATTTCTTCCAATTTCTCTTTTTTTCTTAATTATGTGACAAATGAAGTGCTGCAAATATATTAGTGATGGCTTTTAATTTGATTTCTGGGTAATTAAGTATATTTATATTGATTTTTGTAGTTCTTATTCCTGTCTCACAATTCTTCATTTAATATTTTCTTTATTATTTCATAAATTTTTGAAAATAGTTTGTTTTTCTTTTGGTAAATATATTATTTATTGCTTGATTTTTCTTTGTCTTTTGGTTTGTTTGTTTGCCAGGAAATCTTGAGAGAAAAATTCATAACTTTCGGATCTCAATGCTACACTTACCACCTTTTTATACCACTTTTAGTGTACCACCTCATGTGTCAGCATGTCATTGGTGCAATGGGTCTTTCCACTCATGTCTATCTCCAATGCAGGTGCTAACACATAAGGTGGTACACTAAATGCAGTATAAAAAGGTTTTAAGGGTAGCATTACTCTTAAAATTTTCTTTATTATTCATAAATTTTCTTAAATAGTTTTATTTTCTTTTGATAAATATATTATTTATTGCTTGATTTTCCTTTGTCTTTTGGTTTGTTTGTTTGTTTGTTTGCCAGGATATCTTCAGAAAGGAATTCACAAGTTTTGGATCTCAATGCTTGAGATTAGTAAAAATGACTTCTCGTTCTCGTAGTCTCCATTGAGACTATGCTTTTCTCTAAGATTTCTTTGCAATCAAAATTATATCCTTAGTTTCTAATTAAATTTCCCATATTTTGTTTTGTATTTTGATATTTTTTCGTTTTAAATGATAGGATTGAAATTTACATATGTGCATTTTTCTCACTCTCTTTTTCCTTAATTATATGACAAATGAATTGTTGCAAATTTATCAGTGACTGTTTTTAATTTGATTACTTGGCAATTGTGTATTCTTATTGATTTTCGTAGTTCTTATTGATGTCTCACAATTCTTTGTTTTATATTTTCTTTATTATTTCATATTTTCTTAATTGTTTGGTTTTTGAAATTTTTTCATATTTTATTGTTGGTGGGATTTAGACCCACATCTGAAGGTAGTATCTTGCCCCCGTGCGCGCGCGCGCACACACACACATAATATATACAATTGTCTAACATCATTTTTTGTAGTTTATGCTAAATCTTATGATTCTTGATTCAATTTTTTTTTTTTTTTTTTTTTTTTATGTAGGAATGACGAAGTCTTTACTCTGCCTCTGATTCTTGATTCAATTTGATTCACAATTCGTACAATTAGGATTTTGATTCATTATACGATTCTTGAATGGACACTATGATACAATACAACAGGGACTACTGATGCACTTGTGGAAACAAGAATAGCTGGCATCAATGTTATCTACGGAAGGTGAGCTGTCTTGGTTATTTTCCTATCCTCTGATTATTACATTTCCAATCTTCAGCTGATTTTAATTTTTCAAGCTTTGAATCATGTGGGAGAAAGGCAAGGGGAGTCATGAGATTCTCTTTTCAACTCAAATGGGTAGTCATGTGTTTCAAACAAACTATCAGTGCTTAATCAAAGTGAAATGTAAGCTTTATCTTTCGTGCATTTGTCTGTCTTAATTTTTTTTTTATTTGATATGCATATGCAGATTTTATAGCTGACTATGCTAATTGTTCTTTATGACTATGACATTTATCTAGCTTCTTGGGTTCAAACTACACTAACTAAACTGAGCAACTTGTGTGAAAACATATTTATGTTTGTTCTTACATTGTCAAGTGGATTCTTTTTGAAATTTCACATCTTATTTACCTATCATAGGACAATAATCAAATGCAATTTGCATAATTGCCATACGTACGCCATTTCTTGCTTTTATTTGTTTCTCTTTTGCGAAATACAAAATACTTAAGGGGATATGGATGTTCACATAATGGAAGTATTCTATCTGTTCCATGTAGCATTCTAGATGACTTCTCTTTCTTGTATGAGCTGCAAAGGAGCATGTTTGGCAAGCATTGAAGCAGACCAACCTGCTGAAGTTATCTATGATGCCCCAAAGATCTGGTACGTGTGCTCTTTTTGAGATTGGAATTTTGTAATTAACACCACCATTTCCTAAATTGTCATATAATATAATTCGTGGAAGCGGAAAGAATTATATATAACTAGCGGTTGGCATGTGTGAAGCATGTGCAATTCAAATAATTAAATTAAAACAAAATATATACTGTATATTGTGTGTTGCTCAAGTGGTAAAAGGTTCAAGTCCCACTTCTCCCATTTATCTAATTTTTTTTTTTTTAAATAGAAAAAGGGTAAACTACCAATAGGTCCTAATAGTTAGACTTAATTCTCATTAAGTCCTATTGAAAATAAGTCTTGGTAAAATTGTCGCTAAAAATAATTTTTTTGTGATAATTTTTTACATACGTCGCTAAAAATTGACAATAAGTGACTTTTTTTATCCTAATTTTTATAAATTGTCGTTAAAACTTACGATTAGTGACGTTTTTTTACGACAAATTTTTTCCATAGGACCTATTAGATAATAAGTCTACTTATTAGGACTTACACATAAGTACCCCATAGAAAAATGAGAGACACCGTATAAGGAGAAGCAAGCAAGGCTTGGACAATAAGTGAGTTGTTCACTTTATATAATAGTATAGATAATAGCTGCCTTATTATGTCATATGCCTGAACTCTAATTCATTTCTTTTAATATTGTTTTATTGCGTACACTTTTTGAGAATTTATTTATTTATTTATTATTAATTATTATTACTATTATTTTTTTGGGGGGTTCAAAATTTGCAAATTGACATGTCTGTATTAGAATGTTTGTATACCTTTAGAATTGGGTTATAGGCGATGATTTTAGTTTTGACTATATTATAATTTGAAAGTCTGTTTTGACATTACAATTGGATACAAATAAAAAAAAAAAATCTCCCTTTGGTTGATAACTAGTGAAAGGTGTAGGGGATTGTGCAGGTCTTTGATTGCAAAGAAAGCATATTTAATAATGTTGGATATTGTCAAGCTGAATTAGCACAAGAAGTTAATTTCTCTCATATTGAAATTTGAAGAAGTTTTGCACCAAATTGGTGAAAGTTGAATCACCCTATGCTAATTCAAAGAACATTGTCATAAATTTTGTTCCAAGGGTTGTAGAGCCTAAATATAATTGTTAGTCTCTGTTCAAGACCAAAAGGAATAGAATAAGCTATGTTAGCACTTTGAAAGAAAATAAAAAGTAAACTACATTTGTAGTCCTTGCATTTTGCCCTTTGTGTCATTTTGGTTCCTATAATTTTTGTTAGCTCGATTTTGACCCCCAAGTTTAGATTTTTTTTGACAATTTAGTTCAATTGATAACGCCAATTAGGTTTTTTTTTATAAAAAAAGTCACCAAGTTGGTTTTGGTTGACGTACTGAGTTAAATAACTTCACAATTTTTGCCTACAAAAGTATAACACATGTCACTTATGTGCACATTTTCCATCGAAAAAATGCTAACAATTGAAATCAATTTGATCAAATGAAGATAAAATTATAAATTTAGGGTCAAAATTGAGCCAATTGAAATTAGGAGTAAAATGACACAAAGCAAAAATACAAGGACTATCGGTGTAATTTGCCCCAAAAAAGAAAAAAAGAAGATATCTTGTTCAAGAATGGGAAACCCCTTTTGGTTGTGTTTTGTGTATATTAGCATTGATACTTTATTTTTGGACTTTGGCATTTTGTGAATTAGAATGAACGCACTGCTTATTCATTTTAATTTGAAGAACATTTTAGTAGCAAATTTTTCTTGTTTTTCTATTTAGAAATATCTGGAGCATTATTCATTTATCCTAGAAGATATAGGCATCGACTGGCTTGATTTCCGTTTCCTTGAAACAAATTGAAGTTGAAACTGTAACAAACTATGGGGATATAATTTCTAAGTACCAACACGTGGCCAAGGTGACGCCGACGTGTCAGCCGAGGTGCCACGTGTCCTAGTCATGGCACCGAGGTTATCTCTGCAAGGCCGAGATTACCTCCGAAGATATCGGAGTCCGAGATAAGCGGATAAGGCACAAGAGTCCTAGAAAGAGGGAAGACTTCAGTTAGGAAAGGATAAGGCTCTTAGGGAGTTTATCCCAATCCTACTGGGAGTTAAAGATTAATAGTAATCCTAAGTCCTTTAGAGCTAGGCTCCTGTTGGGACAAGGATTGAGTTAGCTATAAAAGAGAGGCACCCCCGTGGGTCTAAGGTACGCAATTTATATTCTGACTAGTGAGTTTGCACTATTGATTATCTATGAGAGATATACTGACTTGATCGTCGGAGTGCCTGCGGGTAGACGAACCACCGCCGAAATCTTCTCTTTCTGTTGCAGGTTAGACAGGTGTCATCTATTCTGCCAGTGCTCTCCAACTGAATACTAAGTTGGCAGTGTGGTCGGAAAATCACCCACACAATTTGACGCCGTCTGTGGGAAAGAAAGTAGAATAGATGGCCAGTAACGCACAGAAAGAAAAGATTGGGGACGACACTCCTGTTGGGAGTGGGAGACCGATTGACCTTGATATCACAGGAGACGAATGCAATGCAGAAGCTCGTGACCAGAATCACGGAGTAAAAGACGACGGCCAGACTGGCGACGCACCAAAAAACTAGATCGAACTGGGTATTACAACAAGGATGACCTCTACGTATGGAAGGATAGGTGCCTGCGGAGGGACGAAGAGGTAAGAGAGATGGCAAACAAATTGGCAGACCTATAGTCGGTCGTCAATTTCATGATGCAAAATAACGTCATGCAACCACGATTCTCGTTGTAGTACACGCCGATTCCAGCGGCCAATACCTAGAAGGGAGGGCAGAAAACAATCCCCGTAGCCCCTCAGCACAACGGGAGCGAAAAATACTCTCACCGACCTTCTAGGGAGGTCAAACAAAGAGAATCAAGAAGAGAAGAATCATGGAGGACGCATCGCACAAAGGAGGCAGATCCCAAAGGACATCGGCATGTTCAGGGGTAGGCGCTGTGCTTCGACACAACTCATGGAGAAGGGTCGAAAAGGGCTCACCACGAGGTCAAGAGTAGTATACCGAAAAGACTGAAATCGAAAGATAGCCGAGCTCCTGGGCAGAGCAAAGAAGACTTGAGAGATTACCTCAAGAGGAAGCAACAGAACGCCAATGCCGAGGTAACTTCACCTGTTAAGCCGAGAACACTGCTCTCGGTGGAATTAGACAAATTCGAGGCACCAAAGAGATTCAGTATGCCGAGGTTCCAAATATACGATGGTAAGTCAGACCCCAACTTCCACGTTGGATTATACCTGAACTCAATGGCATTGTATAGTGGGAACGAGTCATTGCTCTGCAAAGTGTTCCCCTCGTCTTTCGGGGAGATTGCATCAGATTGGTTTCACAAACTACCAAAGGGAAGTGTGAAGACCTAGGAAGGCCTGGCCGAGATGTTTGTGGCCAGGTTCGTGCCAAACAAACTTCAATCATTAAGAGTGGACGCATTGATGGCTCTGAAGATCAGCAAAGATGAAGGCCTTAGGGCCAACACCAAAAGATACTACGAGGTGTTCAACCGAATACCTGAATGTAATCAAGAGGTGGCAGTCGTATCTTTCAAGAACGGCCTGAAAGATAACTGTCCACTACGAAAGTCATTGGCAAAGACATTGCCAAAAAATATAGAGGAAACTCATGGGCAAAATCGAGAAGTATGCCAGAGCCAAGGAAGATACGTCGGGGAATAAGGAGACAAAGCAGGAGAAAGGAAACAGCTCGCGAAGCGAGCCAGGGCAACAATGGATCGAACAAGCAGAAGTAGAATGAGGGCTAGTGCAGGCAGTGACGACTGTGTTCTGAATCCCAATTCACAAAGTCCTGGATCAAATTCGAAACCAGCCCTATTTCAAAAACGCAGAGAGACGCCAGGAGAATTCATGGAAGAAACATTGGCAGGCATTGTGCCTACCACAATGAAGATGGGCATACAACTCAGGGTTGAAGAGCCTTGAAACAAACACTTGAAAGACCTGGTGAGACAAGGACATCTTGAGGACGCTTATCGCAGAGACAGGACAAGAGGAAGAACGGGCAGATTGCCTCGAGCAGTTCCCACCTCTCTCCAGTACGCAGCCGTAGGCAGGAGGACCTCGGGTAACACGTAATCGCTCGAAGGGTCAAACGAAAACAAAATCCAAGGAGAGACCCAGAAGGAAAACCTACAGACATGTCTACCAAGTCGGGGAGAAAAAGACATAGGTAGATAGAGGTGCTAGGACCAATGATAACCTTTACTGAAGCCGACCTTAGAGATGTCCAGCATCCGAATAATTGATGCCTTGGTAGTAATCCCTACCACGGTTGGGGAGTGTCCCAAGTGAAACGCATCCTGATTGACCAAGGCAACTCTTGTGACATCAATGTACATCGATGTTACAAGGAGCTCGGCCTCCAGAGATATGGAACAATCCAATGCGCTAATGGTTGGGTTCATGGAACGCCGACATGGCACTTGGGGAACAGTAGCTGGAGGTGAGGCTGTCCACCAGGGAGTCAAGACAGATTCACCATCATCGCACACCTCCACCTACAACATCATCTTGGGAATGCCAGGCTGCATGCGATGGGGCAGTTCCCTCTAACATTGGCATCAAACTATTGCCGATTCCGCACAGAGCAGGGATAGAGGAGTCAGACGTGCGATTCAGCTGCAATGGCGAGAATTGCTCCATGGCAGCAATAAATTAACCTTACAGCATCGAGAATGCCAGAAACAGCGCAGAAATTTGAAGATGAGGAATAGAATCCTAAATGACGTCGGCAAGTGAGCCAGCCGAGAAGAGCGAAGAGACACTGACAGAAAATCCTCGTCAGGGTAGTTACGAGGGATGAGTAACGCTTCTTTCTTCTCGTTCGGGCTACGAAGAAGAGAAAAAAAAGTAGGAGCTTTTTTTAAAGAGTCAAATATTGGGTGTTTGCTGGCAGCTTACGAATGCCTAGATTGACACTCAAGGTCCACTTGCCACAGTAACTGATTGTT